TGCACGGTTGAAAAGAAAGGGTGCCTGTATTTGAAGTGTCTTGGGTCTGAATATGTGTTCATCCGAAATGCAATTCAGAGTAAGGTTAAGCAAAGTGAAGTTCCCTTTCTATTCATAGAAAGTTTTATCTCCTGGAAGTATCCCTTCACATGAAAATCGTACACTTCATACCTAGGGAATATCACGTTTTAGAAGAAAACTATTTAAGCAGAGACGAAATCTCACTTTCATCTGCAGCACTCCACTGTTGGGGGCATCCCATGCCCTCCAGTTGCCGGTGCAAAGAGTGCGTACCAGGCTTTCTGTGACATGAATATGAGTGGTAGGAATTGTTACATGGTACAAGATGTACCTCAGCCACCACCTGTAATTACGGTGAGCGTCACACTCATTTGTGAGTATTTTTAGGACCAGGCCTGGAACATACAGGAAAGAGACAACAAAAAGAATGCTCAGATTTCTGGGAAATTGATGCTTTGTTATGCAAGAAAGCATTGCGTATTGCTCTATCAAAGAAAGAATTTGACAAATTGACTTCTCCCTTCAACTTTTTATTTTTTGCCATTCAATCCCCTCCTTACCTCCCTCCTGCCCCTCACCCTCCACCCCCAAACTGCCCGGCTCCCTGCTCCGCAGCGGCCCACCCCAAGACCACAGAGCTCCCTCACCTGGACAGGCTGGCCTTGCTCTGTTCTCGTCTTCTCGATGGTTCTCCGTGTCAGATGTGCACCTCTGGTTCTTCAAGCTCAGGGACCACAGAGAAGGTTTTCCCAGGGCGTGAGTGTGGCCAGCGTGGGAGAGGGTGTTTAGGATGACGGGCCACGTGTGACTGGTACCCGTACGTTCTCTGATGTGTGTCTACTGTGTGTGACTCAGGATGGCCGCCCCTCTCCCCTGTGTCTAAGGCGCGTCCAGAGAGTGAGTCCTTTCCACAGCGAGGGGCTCTCTCTCCTGGAGTTAGCAAAAGGCACGCAGCGGGGTGGGGGATCTTGTGCTGCCTTGTACATCGGGTAGCTGACATGGCTCATTCACTCACATGTGCATCTGTTCATTGGTTAAAGCCTGAAGTTGGTGGGGCACAATTTCAAATCCTCATGGGATCCAGACTTTCTAAAGCTGTGGGTGCCGGGTGACCCCCAGAGCTACTGCCCGGGGGTAATTTTATTCGTTTGCTCATTTTAGTTTTAGAAATGGAGGACTTTGAAGCGGTGATCTGAGTGACAGTGGACGGAGCAGACTGGCTTTCCATCCAGCAGTCCATGCGCGTGTTGGGCGGTGCGTGGATTGGTACAGTGCCCTTCCCCCTTCCACCCTGTGCTTCCCATTCCCATGTGTCCTCCTGTCCTGTCCCCCTGCCTTCTGAGCTGTGTCCCAAAGTGCACACTGCCCGTGGCTTTCCTGTGGGTCGCTGGCCTCAGGTGTGCCACTCCTGATGTTGTTTGTTTATTTGGCTGAAGATTGGGCTCCTGGGGTAGGTTCAGTTCCAGGTGTGGAGGCGATCTCCCGACCATCATACTGGGGTTCACCAGTTCCATCAGACCCCAGGATGCTCCGTAGAAGTGAGGATGAAGAGACTTTGTGTCGTGTACTTTGGACACGTTGTCAGGAGAGACCAGTCCTTGGAGAAGGGCATCGTGCTTGGTAAGGTAGAAGGGTGGTGGGAACGAGGAAGACTTTTAAGGAGATGGACTGTGGTTCTGAGGGTGATGCGCGTCTGGGCAGTGTTTCTGTCTGTGGTGCATGGGCCCTCGGGTTCAGAACGGACTCGATGGTGTCTGACGGCAACAACCTGCAGGCTGGTACAGCTGCTGTTTTTGAGGATTCTGCATTGTATGAGCCATGTTTCTCCCACTCTGCGCAGGGCATTCTCCTAGGACCGTTTTCAGCATGGTCGGCAGTGGTAGCCAGGCACCATCTAGTTCATCTCTGAGGGCCTCAGAGGTTTGGGTTCACGTGGCCCGCTCAACCTCCGGACGGATTGTTTCCTTTGTCTTTGATTTTCCTCACTCTTCTTTGATGGGGGAGAAATCAAGCCTTGAGGTAGCTTTAAAGCCTTAAACCTGAATCCAAGGTGTCCCGAGGCCTTCTTCAAATCAGACAGAAGCCCTCTGCCTCCGTTTGATTCCGACTCCCGGCGGCCCTCGTTGGACAGCATCGGACTGCTCTTTGGGGCTTCTGAGACTGTGCGTGTTTAGGGTAGCAGACAGCCTCGTCTTCCTGTCAGAGCACCTGGTGGGTTTGAAGCACCAACCTTGTGGTTAGTCCACTGCTTAACCCCCAGTGCCACTCACTCCGGCCATCGTGTTGATTCTGACCCTATGGGGCAAACTGGCACTGCCCCTGGGGTGGGGGTGGGACTGTGAATCTGTACAGGAGTAGAAAGCCTCGTCTTTCTCCCTTGGAGTGGCTGGTGGTGTCCCACCATTGTCGACTCACTGGCTGTGAGTCCAGTGCCACTCAACACCAGCAGGCTCCCTGACATCAAGTTGATTCTGACGCACAGTGACCCTAGAGGGCAAGGTAACTACCCCAGGGTTTCCCAGATAGTAACTCTATAAGGGAGTAGAAAGCTTCATCTTTCTCCCTTGGAGTGGCTAGCGGTTTCGAACTGTTGACCCTGTGGTTAGCCACCCAGCGTGTAACCAATACAATACCAGGCCTCCTTAGTCTAACTTGACGAGTGAAGACTGTGTGCTTTGAGCATTGTGTGCACTTCAAAGTCTGCCTACAGGAGATGCAGTTGACCGACAGGCAGACAGGAAGCTTAGAGGGCAGTTAGTCGGCCACCTGTGGAGGAAAGATTGGGAGCAGGAGGCAGCGAATGCCTGCACCGCTGGAAGAACGGAATCATTGTCAGGGCAGGGTGCACGTAGACGCGATTGAGTGGGGGTATGTGTTCAACAGCACCACGGCAAACTTAATTATTCAAAGAAGAAAGGACACACCAAACCCTGACACCTGTATCGAGTTCTCCGGTCTTCACGCCAAGGTCCACTGCAGTCTTATCGCCCTGCCCCTGAATCTGCAGATGAGGGAGCGGAGGCTTAGGAAGGGGCCCTGGCCACCCACCATCACAGGCTGCTTTCATACAGGGTGGGCAGCCTGGCGTATGGGAGTTCCTGGTGAGATCGGACGCAGGTGTGCTCTCTCCCCGTGGGCTCCCGCCAGCTCCCCAGGGACCAACCAGCCCCTTGCCTCGGGGCCCTGGAGAGATCCTGCAGGGGGTTTCTGTTGAAGAGCCACTTCCTGTTTGGGGCCCCACACTTCCTCTCCGTGACTCACAGGCTCCCCCTGGCCCCTGATAGAAAGCCAAGGTGGGGATGGGTGCAGACAGGCCCAGCCATGTCACCCTCTGCCAGCCACCTCAGACGAGCTGATTCTGACTTGGCGGAGCTTTTTGGACGGAGCAAACGGCTCCGCAGGGTTTCTGAGACTATCAATGTTGACCGGTGCAGACAGCCCCGTCGGTCTCCCGCTGAGCGGCTGGTGGGTTTGACCTGCTGACCTTGTGGTTAGCAGCCCGATGCTTGTGTTAGCCAATGCTCACCTTCAGGTGAACAGCCCACTGAGCTACCAGGGAAAGGAAAGGCCGCTGCCCGACTCTGGCCCACCCAACCTGCAGAGAACAAGAGAATCTGAGGGGTGTATGGGGGTGGGGGGTGGGGTGACCTCCACGCTCAAACGTCCCCGCATCTGGATTCCAGGGTAGCTGGCTCAAGGGGGCATCTGTGGCCCCAGGGCCTCTGGGACACTGTGTGGCACTTCCTGACTTGCACGGGGGCAGTGTGGAGGCAGAGAACTGGGCCTGGCTAGGAGTCAGCTTGGGTTTCAGACACCAGCTTGGTGCCCCTGTCCCCTGGCGTCCTCATCTGTCTAGTGGGGGAGAACGGGCTGCTCTGACACATAAGGGTCACATCGAGGGACCCTGGTTTGAGTTCTGGCTCTGCCTCCTTGCTGAGTGTGTTCACCTCGAAGAGCTTCACTTTAAACAACAAAACAAAAACAGCTTTCCATATGGAGATGTCGTTCACACAGCATAAGGTTTATCTGGGTCTTCAGCAAATTTACGGATAACTGTCGCCAGCCCCACAGTAGATTTTAGAGCCTCTGGATCCCCCCAAGAAGAAGCCCTGCGCACTTCACATAGGCTCCATTCCCTAGGGCTCCCCCCACCCACTGAAACCGACTGTCGGGGTTCTACCGCATCGTGACCTGAAGGCCAGAGAATTGCTCCGTGGGTTTCCAAGGCCATAAATCTTGACAGAAGCAGACTGCTTCTTTAAAGATAACTTCATTTAATATTTGCTTCTGAGAGGGTGGACAAAGCCCTGGCCCCACAGTCTGAGTGTCCCTCGTGTAGGTGATTGGGACAGCATCTTCTGTCGCCTGCAGTGCTGACCTGGAGCCCCTGGGTCTACCGGTAACGTGGCCTGTCATTGCCATCCCGCCTCCCAGTTCCCGGGCAGGAGCTGCCAAGCTGGTGATGGAGGAGGCGGTACATGAGTCAGAACTCAGCACATAATTGTGGTGCCCCAGATCCCACCCCAGCCCGCTGGCCCTCCCCGGCGGTCTCTTCAGAAGAACAGCTGGCTTGGCGTCCACCTCCAAAGAGAGCCTCTGCCCCCCAGAAGCCAGAGGTAGCCCTCAGCTTAACCCCGATGTGGCTGGGCCTGGGACCTCTTCCCCTGGGAACCATAGGGGAACAAGAGTGGTTCAGAGAGGAGGATGAACTGGGTCTAGGGGTTGGGGCGGGTTTGTGGGCGTCTTGTATGGATGTGGGATTGCGTGTGTGGGGTCTCATGGCCAGTATTTGACCACATGTGTCTACTTGGCTCAGCCACCAGCTTAGGGACTTCCCCAGGGCAGGGATTGGGTGTGACCCCTGGGCTCCATATCCAGCACAGACCGTAGTGCATGGCTCACATAGGGCCTGGTGGGGGCACGGAAGGCAGGGTGACCGGATGACCGATCTGACCCGGCTTGTCCCCTTATCCCCTCAGCTCTCCTGGTGAAGTGACGCCACCCCCTGGGAGTCCAGCTCACAGCACGGGCACCATCGTCCAGGTAAAGACGGAAGTGAAGAGGGAGGGATGGGCCTGGAGTTGGAGACAGGTTCCAGAGAGCGATCCCACTGCCCTCCAGGGCTGGGGGCTTTCAACAGCTGACCTTGCTGAGCCCACCAAGCCACCAGAGTTCTTCAGAGAGCAGCCTCGCCCTGAGGGCAACCCCCCCTCCCCAAAGCTCTGCTAAGCACAGCCTGCCAGATGCCCTGCCTGTGTGAGCTCATGCAGCCCACGAGGCTGCTGCTCCTGCTCCCACTGCGCAGAGGAACCCACGGAGGGCGGTCAGGGAGGCAGAGCTGGTCTGCCGCCCCGGCAGGCTGGCTCTCAGCCTCGCGGCCGCTCTTCACCACCATGATCTGTGAGTGTTAAGACTGAGGAGGGTCTTGATTTCCAAGGCGGGGGTTCGTCGTGTAAGAGAGAAGCGGAGAAAAAAGGAGATCCGGCTAAAGGAATGCATGAAGAAGGGAGGAATGGGAGGCCCTTGGGTCATAGAATTGGCAGGAAGCAACCTTGCAGGTTTCTGGCCCAGCTGGCTCCCGGAGCACTGTTCTCCAACTCTGCATTCTCACCGGGCAGTCTTCGGTGGTCCCTAATGGGAATGGAGACATCTGGAGGAGAGGAAGTAGGTTCGAGCACCAGGCTCCCAGGCGCAGCCTCCCCTGCACAGCCCCACGGAGAAACAAGACTGCCACCGGCTGTGGTGAAATCAGTGTTCTGAGCTAACGTCAGACGTTCAAGGAAAGGCTAGGGGAGACTTTGGGTTTTGTCCCCTGCAAGTTGGGGGTGGCGGGAGCCAGGACTCCACAAACAACTACCACCAAAAACACAGGTAGTAGCGAAGCCAGGGGCCATCCAGTAGGTTTGATCTTCATGCATCCTCAGAGCCGGCTTTGCCAAACCAAACCCGCCTCCCCGCCCCCAGCAAGCCCATTCTGACCAAAGCGCTTCCATGTGTCCAAGGACAACCGTGCTCCCCAGGACTGTGTCTGCCGCCGCCTCTCTCCCCACCCTGCACAGGGATGCCCTGAGTAGGGACAGGGTCTGGGACATCTCTTGTCCCCAGCACCCAGCGCAGGGTCAAGGGCTGTGGGTCTCCAGTAAAGCTGGGCCGGTGGACCAGACGTCTCCATCTGGGCTGCTCGCTGCCCAAGGGTGTGGGGCAGCTGCGGAGGCGGGTAATGATGGGGCACAGAGGCCTGTGATCACGTCTGAGAGCTCTTCCAGGGGACGGGAGCACAAAGCAGGGAGGCAAGCTCGGGGTGTGCAGAGGACAGACGGGGTTTGGGTAGGTGGGGTGGGGTAGAGGGAGAGACTTTTCTGGCAGGGAAGCGGGAGAGTTGAGCAGGGAGGTGTGCTGGGGCCGGGGCCTGCGTGCCAGAGGCAGGTGTCAGGAGAGGCAGAAAGAAGGCTCCTTAAAAGGTCGGGCTTGCACCTCTTCCTGTCCCCAGGGCTTGCTGGGGACGCCTGTTTGTGTAATAACGCTGCTATTTTACATAAATAAACCAAATCACGGCTCCCCATTCCCTCAGGGAGTAAAAATTGGGCAGAGACAAGTTGCTCAGCACAAGTCTGCCAGACTTGGTTTCCTCCTCCTCCTTCCCTGTGGGCGGGTCCCTTCCCGGGGACATAGGGAGAGGCTTGGAAAAAGCTACCCTGGTCCTTGGTGACTGAATCACTGGGCTCCTGGGAGGGGCATGTTGTGCCAGCTGAGGGTGAGGGTGTCCTTCCTTGCCTTCTGCCCCTGGGACCATCAGGGAGTGGCAGAGGGTGTACGGTCCTCCAGTCCAGGCTGCTTAAAGAGTCTTGGGGTTAAGGAGGGAGCGAGCCTTCACGGGGAGCATGCACGCCTATGCAGGAGAATAGCGGGCTCTGCAAGGGCCCCCCTGAGCGGGAAGGTGGGCTGGATGGGATGGCACCAGGTCTGCCAGATCTATGCCCCGTGTGAGAGGGTGCTAAGGCTGTGCTGACTGGGGAGTTTGCAGCCGGAGACATTGAGCTCTGAGATGCTGAGCTCTGCCTGCTGGGTGACTGCCCAGCCCAAGCCGGTGGCCCTGACCTGGGAAAGAGGTTCTCTCTGTGTCCACAGGAACCCCGTCCCCTAACCTGGCCAGGGCCTATGCCTGGCTCCTGGGCAGCCTGTGGCTCCCACGGTGTCCCAGGTGTGCAGGTCTGCCCCTAGAGAGGAGCCCAGCAGACAGACAGAGCCAAGGATGGGCAGTGAGGGCATCTAGTTCTCGACCAGGTACTGGGCAAGGCCTGTCCTCTGCCAGCCCCAGCCTCCTCGCCTGTAGAATGGAGGTCTAGGACTGGTGGCTCCGTAAGGGGCGCTGTGGGGAGGCACTGTGTGGACGGTGAGGCACCCAGGGGTGTAGCTGCCATAGCTACAATTAGGTCACCTTCTCCTGGAAAGGAAGGTCGAGTGGGAGGCTCTGGGGTCCCTCATGGCCCCATACTGTGCCAGGCACGTGGCCATGACCTGGATGAGCTCCCCCTGAGGAAGAAGACGCCCTTTCCCTGGGAGAAGCAGGGGGTGTGTCCTCCCGGGTGGGAGAGCAGCCGGGCACTCTTGGGACAGAAGTGTTGGGTAAACAGGAGGCCTAGCATCCCCGGGAAAGAGGGTGCTTGATTCTTTGAGGGTTCCTGCTGAGTGCCAGCCTCAGCTGCTGTGTGGCTTTGCCCCCAGCGAATGCCCAGGTATGCTGCAAGCTGGGGGGAATCTTGGCCCACCTGGTCTTGTCACCTTGGGGACCTCCCTCCTACCTCCTCCTCTTTCTGAAGACTTGCCTCCTGCCCTGCTGATGGTGGTGATGGCGTCCTGGAGTGGGTGCTGACTCACAGGGACCCCTGGGGCAGAGGAGAAATGAACCTTGAGAGCAGACCGCCGGGCCTGTGTCCCACAGTGGCAGCTGAGCTGTGAGCTTGAACCACCCACTTTCGGGTTAGCAACCAACGCCCTCTGAGCAGGAGGAAGGTGGGCTTTCCACTCCCATAAAGAGCGGCAACCTTGGAAAGCGCCAGGGGCAGTTCCGCTGTCTTCCAGAGTCCCCCTGCATCAGCATTGACGTGACAGCAGTGAGGGCACTTGTTCTTGTTTCACGCCCGCTTATATGGGCCCTGGTGGTGTAGTGGCCACTAACCATAAGGTCAGCAGTTCAAAACTACCAGCCACTCTGAAGGAGCGAGATGAGGCTATCTGCTTCACTGGAGATGTACAGTGTCGGAAACCCACAGGGGCACCTCCACTCTGTCTTACAGTGTCGCCGTGAGTCCGAATCAGCTTCCTGGCCGGGGGTTAAGCGCGCCCCTGATGGAGCACCGTCTCTAAGTGACTGCAGGAAGCTGGGGTCAGAGGACCTTGTGGTGTAGTGGGGGGTGGGGTGCTGATGCTGCTTGACCCCCATGTCTCCAGGTTTTCCCACAAGTCTCAGGGAGTGGGACATCCCAGAATCAGCTCCTGTCTCCCCTCCTCCAGCACCAGCCGCGAGATTTGCATCTGCGGTTTGGGTTCTGGGGTTTTGCTCTGGGAAGAGGCCCAGCTGGTTGGGAGATCCTGGCTTCCCCAGACCCCAGGATCAGGGGAAGATTGGCTGTACAACCCACCACCCGATGGACCCCCAAGAGGGGACTTAGCTTACCGGCTGGGGCTGCCTCCACCCTGGGAAACACCCTGCTCACGCCTCCTCCCTGAGACCCAGGGTTTGGGTCTGCTGACCCCTACCCACAATGCCCTTTGCTGGGAGAACAAATCCTCTCTCATTTCTGAATTCTGCTTGAATCCCACCTTCTCTAGGAAGCCTCCAGTAGGGATTTGTGCTGGGGTCTTGGAAGCATAGGTCTGAGGGGTCCAGAGGAACCCTGACTCGGGGAGGGCTTCCTGGAGGAGAGGCCATCTCCCCAGAGCCCTGAACAGCAGGTAGGAGTTTGCCAGGCCTCGATGCTTAAGTGGAAGGTTTAGACTCTGAACATAGTGAGATTAGGCAGAGGGGCTCCCAGGTGGTTTCCCAGACACACCTGGCTGGGGAGCAGGACACAGGAAGCCCCGAGAAGTGGGGTGCCAGGGTGCCTTGGCCAAGTGCCATGTCTTCCCTGAGCATCATGGGAGGTCACTGTGGCCCCGGGTTTTACATGGATGGTGTTTGGGGATTTCAGGGCTCGTGTGTCTTCAAGGCTGAGGCGTGCCTACACTTTGGTCCCTGTCATGAAAAGGTCCCTGGGTGGGGGCAGAGCCCCGGCCTGGATCCCAGGGTGACCAGGAATCTACCCCTGTTTACAGACCTTTTGGAAGTCTCATTTCTGTTATGAACAGGTATCCTGGAAGGAGACCAACATACCAGTGTACCTGGGGCGGCCCACGTGTAGCGCTGAACCCTTACAATGGGTTGTGGGTCATCTTACTCCCAGGCCAAAACTAGTCCCTCAAAGAGAAGGCCAGAGACGTGTCCAAGGTCCCACAGCAGGGAGTTCATGGTGGGTCTGGGCGGCAAGACCAGGGATGCCTGTGGGGTTCATCCTTCCATCCTGCCTGGCCTCCCTTCTCTGCTCTGTGCCTGGGCAAGGGGGGGTGGGGGGGCTAGAGGGCTAGAGAAGCTGAGGGCTGGAGAGGCCCGTAGAGATGATCCGGTGATCAGCCCTGCCAGATGGGAAAAGACTGACATCAGCGAAAACAGCCCTGCCCAAGGAAAAAGCAGTGCTCCCCCCCAACCACCACCCCCAAATCAGGGGTCCTGCCTGTACTCGGGGCCCTGGCTGCTGCTGGGGAGGGGAAGGCAGGGCTCAGCCCCCGCCTCCCTGGCACCTGCCAGGGGGTTTTCCTGTTCCTCCCCCAAGGTTCCTGGCCTCACTCCCTTGGTGCCAAGTGAAATATTGACCTTGGCCCTGTGAGGTGCTGCTCCCAGTAATGCAGATGCTGGGGCCACACAGACCGGTGGGGGTCAGGGGCGGGGGTGGGGGGGAGGTGCGGTGCACATCAGCAGGCAGGCCCTCCTGGGGCTGGGCCCACGC